AGGGAGCAGATATCATGGGGCCTCACTCCTAGACAGAGAACTATAGGCAACTAATGACGGCTGAAAGAACAACTAGTTTCTCCCAGGGATAAGCATCCCTTCCCCCAAGTTGGTTATCCAATACAAAGTGGTCAGCCCCGAAAACCATATACATACATAAACAATAAAAATATAACCAGTAGGTTTTATTTATATATTTGTTCAAAAACAGACTCAGAAGATAATATCTGTCTGTCTGTAATAGTCAAGAAAAAGAGGCTATCAGTTTGAAAGTGTAGGGATGGATATGGAAGGAGTTAGAAGGAAGGGGCATGGGAGGGTCTGGAGTGATAAAAGGGAAGAAGGAAAGTGATGTAGTTATGTCTTCATTTAAAATGCATTAAAGTCATGCTCAAAACTCTGGAAACTGTTGGGGATGTAGCTGTTTGTCTAGTTTTTGCCTGCATGAATGAATATTTGAGCTATATTTCAGCATATTCCACATTAACTGGGTGTGGTATACACTCATGTAACCCCAGCAGGCCAGGAGAAACAGACAGAGGATAGGAGTTTGAGGCCATCTTTGACTAGATAGCAAATTAGAGGGTAGCTTGGGATTTATGAGATCCTGTCTCAAGGAAACAAACCAAACCAAGCCAAACAACATCACAACAAAGACTCCAATAAGCAAACACAGCACACTCCAAAAACCTTAAACTATTTTTTTCCTTAGGCTGCCCTGCTCTGTGTTCCTACAGTAATTAAAAGGAAGGAGAACAATCTATGGCATGTAGTTAAGGCTCTTGGAGTAGGAGTCATGTTGTAGCTGTGCTTGTACACTCTGATAAATCACAACAGGTGGGCAAATGGGCTTATGCAAGTATGTGTTATGGGTTATATACACGTGAGCTTAGGTAAGCTTGTTCATATGCATGATATATATATATATATATGCATATATATGCATATATATATGCATGAGGGAGAGAATGAGTGGTCCTGCCACAGTCGCTAGTTGATAAAGGTCCGCATACTTCAGGCTCCACGAGGAGCTGTGCAATAGCTACATTAGACTTAATGACAGTGGAAGTAAAACGACAAAGGGCTTCAGTGATCAGTCACTGTGACCAGCAGTGACAGAAGCTCAGGAAGACAGAACCCTATCCTGGAGCTTACTTTGTTCTGGAATGTCTCTTAAATCCCAGATGAAGATCTCAGTGGAGCTGGCTGAGTGTGTTTGTGCTCTTCGGCTTCTGGGCATAACATCACCACACTGACAGTTAGGGTCAGGAAAGATGGCTCCCAGTGTTTCATTTAGGAACACGGACCCTGAACTGCTTATGCAGTGAGGCTGGAGTTTGTGCAAATTAAGTTGAAGGGAGTGGATGGTGTCAGCTCGCGGACCCCAGCAACTAGCACTAACCAGAATTTTCCCAGAGTCTCTCTGCAAGTCTTCCTACAGGGAATTGTCTCTATAGTCTTTGGTCCATCGCTGGTCTTGGAAGGAACCCCTAAAAGCAAAGATCTGATCACTTTAATTTCATTATCCAGCAGTACAGCCCTCCTTAAAGAGGAACAATTATAATAAATAAAAAAGTCAGTGTATGAGGGCACAGCAGGGAGAGTTGTAGCAATTTCTCTAAGGTGAAAATTGAGGAAGCTGCTCCTGAGAGTGGCTGCCTTCCTCAGGAGGCACAGGGATGCTGAGCAGTCTCCTCTGAGGGCAGCAGGTAGTTGACTTTTCTTACCCTTATGGAGTGATGAGGGGAAAATGATGCATGGCTTTTAGCTGATGAGTCCACTTTGCAAAACTGCAAGTGCCTACTTTCCCTGCACTCCCCAGTGGGTAGGGAGACACCAGCTTAAATTAGAGGCATGCAGGCACCAGCATCTTCCCTCTGCTTGCCATATCTGTAGTAACACTGTGAGGGAAAGGCTTCATTTTCCTCCTCCTACCAGCACCTGCCACTTCTCAAAAGCACCATGAAATAAAAGACATCTGTGTGTGGAAGTGAACCTCAGGGGGCCTCTGAGAATGCATTTGTTTGCTTTCTCAAACCACTGACATTGCAAGTTAGAACCGAGGGCTGAGAAGCCACACTTGGTGCTTGATGTACAGAGACACGGGAAACCCAATGAGCCAGAATGGTCCCCACAGGGGACCCGAGACCTCAGGCAGGGTCGACATTTTTGTGGTCCTCACTTAGCCTTCTCCTAACTCCTGCTGGGGGTACACAAGCCAAGGAGGAAACCAAATAAATTAGAGCTGACTCCAAATGTTTAAAGAGCTATTGGGAAATGAACCAAATTTCACAAATTCCTAGAGTAAGTTAGTATCATGTAGATCTACCTTGGTGGATATTATTAAGAAAATAAATTAGTTCCTTCCTTCCTTACCTTTTTAGTCTCTTTCTTGCTCTCCCCAACCCTCTTTCCCCTCTCCCTTCCCTCCCTCTGTGTTTGTGTAGATGTATGCCTCAGCATCATGAACCTTGGGCTTATAGATGCTCCTGGCTTCCTTGTTCACAGGGATTCAGACTGAGACCCTCACACTTGCACCACAAGTACAGTACCCACTGAATCATCTCTCCAGCCCAAGGTGTAGCCATGACTGGCCTCAAACTCAGGACCCTCCTGCTTCTGCCTCTTCAGCATATCTTACTGACATGAGTCACCATGACTGGCCAAAGAAGCATGATGCGTTGGTTAATTTTTTTCTCATTTTTTTATTAGTTCTTTGAGAATTTTGCATAATATGTTTTCACTTTCCTCCTAACTCTTCCCAAGTCTCCCCACTTCCTTACCCACCCAAATTTTGATAATCAACATGATTAGATTAAGGAACATCTAGGTCAGTGGGATATACCCTGGAAGTTTCTATGAGCACATCTCTAGAGACCATTAGCTGGTAAGGGCTGTGAGCTGACTACTGGAGTAATTCTTAATGCATTTGAAACACTTTGGTATCATCGGGAGTGGTGGAAAACAGGAGGCAGAGCCTTGGGAGGAGGTAAGTCACTGGAGATATGCCCTTGGGGTTATAAAAGCCTTCTTGTTCTATCTCTGCCTTCTGTTTCCTGGTAACCATGATGTGAACAGCTCCCATGCCCTACTTGTCATGATGGTCTGACACTTCTGAAAACAAACATGCGAACAACCAACACACAGGCCTAGAAAACTCTCCCAGCACAGACAGTGAAACTAAACATGTATGTATGTGTTTCTATTATAAGCACAGTTAACATTTCCTGGGATTCATTTGAGTTAAATGAAACATAAAATACTTAGGCAAAAATAAAAGTAATATGTGTATATAAAAGGGATCCAGCTCTAATAAAGTTATTGAACTATCAAATGTGTCCTGTGCTCAGAAGAACTCTCCAGGGGAAACATGTCACACTCGGTGGTTATTAAGGGTTGGTTCTAAGCCTCTGTTTTTTTTTTGTTTTTTGTTTTTTTTTTTTTTTTTGGTAAGTGAGGTTACATTTATGATCTAATCATCAATATCAGCAAATGCCTGATGTATTCCAGGCTTGTGTAGAGAATGGTGCCCAAGACAAAGAAGCCATTGGGAAGAAGTAGTGGGTCTTTAAACACATATTTGTTTAGCCTATTTATCTAGCCCTCAGACTGGATACTTGTTCAAAAATGTTCTTTTTCATTTTGTCAGCTCCATTGCTTTCCTTTTAAGAGAGGCATTGGTAGGGATTCCCTACATTTCACATGCTTTAGAAAGTAAATGGGAAAGCAAACTGAAGCTAGAATCAGAAAAGGGAACACACTATCAGAGAAACTACAGGAACTGCACCCAAGAGCATGAGGTGGGCAGTGGTATCCTGGCCAACATGATAGTAGACACAGCCTGGACCCAAGGAAAATGGGGATAGAATAAGCTACATGAGATCACACAGAACAGCACTTTCCTCTCTAAAGCTTTTAGAAAGAGAAAGTGTGTGTGTGTGCGTGTGTGCGTGCGTGCGTGTGTGTGTGTGTGTGTGTGTGTGTGTGTGACACTTTTGTGCATGCTTGAAGGCCTGAGCTCACACTCCTAGAACTATGTAAAGCTGGACACAGTGTTGTACATTTGCAGTCTCAGTACTCCTAATAGTGAGATGAGAAGCTGAGACAAGAGAATCCCCCTGAGCTCAGCCTGGTGTATACAGCCAGGAACAACAAAGAGGAGAACCTGCCTCAAAATAAAGGGGAGGGTGAGGATGGATGCTGTGGTTGTCTTTCTGACCTCCAAAGGTGCACTGTGTCATATATGTGTCTGTACACACACACACACACACACACACACACACACACAGAATGAAAATATAAAAAGACTTTGTAAGAGTGTGAGTGTATGTGTGGTATACACACAAATAAGTGCAAGATGCATGCATGTTACAATAATAGAATATAGCATAATTTAAGTGAGAAGGTGAGAGTCCTTGATTTGTCTCTCTTATTGTCAAGACACAGTGGCATCAATGACACCAAAGAGGGGTGGACACCACCTTTGTCCTCCATCTTGTGAATGCACTGTGGTGATGGAGGTGAATGGCACTGTGAGTCCTAGGGAAGGGCTTAGTAATGGAATTTTTAAGTTAATGGAAACTACACTTTGACGCCTGGCTAAAGGTTGAGTTTCTTTCTCACCCAAGTTGCAAATGAAGGCAAAAAGAGCTAGTTTGAGTTTGCTTTCACCTCATGTAGTTCTCATTTGCTTTCTCTGTGGTTTCATTTTCCAGCCTGGGATATAGGGAATGTCTGACCTATTAAAACAAAGCAGAGTGCTATGGTAATTAAAAAGCTAATTTTAGGCTCCTAACTACTTTTCTGCCAATGACCTGAGCATTTCAGACTGAGGCTTTGGAGGTATCTAGCTAACTATAGTTATGATTCATTTGTATCCATCTAGCTATCCACACTACACATATGATGCTTTGGCCAAGCTGGCCTGGGGTAGGGATTAGCCAGTGGGAGCCTGGTCTGGCATTGTTTATTGACAAAAGGCAAATAATGTGGTTTCTTACAATCTGTGGTGATTTCGTAGGGAGAGTTGAGTCTGGCATCTCCGCAGGGGGACGTGCTCACATAGAGATGGAAGAGGATGTTTTCTCGAAGCCTGTAGCCTCCTTCCTTTAAATGAACGAATATTGATCTCTCGGAGTCCTCTCGATGCTTGCTATGGACACAAAGAGGATGTAGGTCACTTATGACAGAGCAAATGAAGATGTTCCTACAGGTGCTTGCTTTTGTCTTGTTTCCTGGAGTTAGCAGTTCCCCAGCTTTTATCTCTCGTATGTTCATATGCTATTTGCCCCTTGCATGAACACTTTGGAAATAAGCCACAGTAAAGCTACCTGGGAATAAGCACAATCTGTGGAAACATTTCCCTCTTCACCCTCCTGAACATTCACTCTTTAGGTCTCTCTCTCTTTCTATTGCACATGCATGCGTGCACACACACACACACGTGTGTGTGTTTGTGTGTGTGTGTGTGTGTGTGTGTATGTGTGTGTGTAGGTCAGAGGACAACTTCAGGTGATATTCCTCAGGTACCATCCATCCATTTTTTCTTTTCAGAGTATTTAATTGGTCTGGAACTCATCATGTAGGCTAGGCTGGCTGGTGAGCCTCAGGATCTGCTTGTCTCTGCCTCTTCAACTCTGGGACTATATGCATATGTCATTATGCCTGGCATCTGTCTGTCTGTCTGTCTGTCTGTCTGTCTATCTATCTATCTATCTATCTATCTATCTATCTATCTATCAATCATCTATCAGGCATGAATTCTGAGTGTCATACTCTGGTGCTCATTCTATATGATAATCACTTTACAAACTCCTCTCCAACCACTATGTTTTAGGTTTATCTTTTACAACCCAGTATCTAGCACTATAAAACCATAATCCTCTGTGCTGGTGAGGCCCCACTCATGGAGTGTCCTGGAGCAATACTGACTAAAGTAGTCTAAGTGGGCACCAGTGCAATAGAGGGAAAGGGGATTCTAAACAGTGTCTGAGCTTGGCTACCAACAAACTAGGTGGAAACAGCAAACAATGCAGAATTGGCTTTTCTTATCATCCAGGGTAGATCTAGAACAAACTCATGCCTCCTAACCTTGGAGCTTTATATCCTCTTCTTTATAGTCCTTAACCCCACATCTGAGCAGCCCTGCCTTCCCCAGGAGAGATGATACCACAATGGGAACTGAACAACTGAGCTATGTTTTCACTCCCAGATCCTTCTGTAAGCCCCTGGCAGTCTTCTTTCTGCCATTCTTGCTGTTTGTACAAGTTTTGCCCCATTGGTGATGGATTCTGTGTTGTAGGGCCTTGAGATCTCATAGGTAGCAGACTGGACATTATGTCCCCAGGAAGGCCCCAAGGCTACTATGCTCATGTGCTACCACCTCCTTCCTCGTGCCCAAGTGGACTCCTCCATCATGTGTGGGATCTTCTTCCATAGCCTTAGGAGCAACTGCATCCAGTCTTGGTCCCCTAGTGCAGAGCCAGACCCGTTGAGGGAAACTTTACTTGTTCTCGAGGCTCTTTGCAGTAATTTTTGGTATTGTCCTGTTGGGCAGGGGTGGGAGTGTGGCTGTCTTTGACTATTCCAGATAACTGTGCAATGCCTAATAGATATTGAAGTCTGGGCAAAGTTGGCTGAATTGTCTTCTGTGACATATACAGGAGGTGGGGGGGGGGCTGGAAAAAACTTCCAACTGAATAGTTGGTATTCCACAGAAATCCCCACATTTTGAGAGATTCCCAGCTCTTGTCTATTATATTTGACCCTTCACCAGGCCTCCTGGAACTGATGTGGCAATACATCATGCTGCTATGCGCTACTCAGAGGCTCAGAGAAAAATTAATTGAGTGTATTAAGGTATTGCCTTTATTCAAGTCCGTTTGGCATGCATTTAAGGCTTTCCCCCTTTGTGTGACTTCTGCACATTCTACTAGGTTCATGTGAATGAGCCATTCACTAAAGCACCTCTGAGATGCCTTTATTAGTGGATTCTAGGAACCCTGTTTCAAATGACAAGAAAAGGGCAGCTGGAAGATGCAAGAAAAGAACACTGTCAAAGAGGCCCACAGCAGTTAAGCTACTGTGACTAGCTTGTGTCAGGAATGTGCACGATCTATCTGTGTCTCTGCTGGAGTTGAATGTGTATTCCAGCTCATGTGACAGCCTGTTTTTTTTCTGATGGCTGCCACAAAGGCACCAGAAATTCCAGCATGGGAGCCCATTTTTCAGTACCTCTTCACTCTCAGAAATCCAAGTTAACATGTATTCTGCAGGGTTAGGAGATGGCTTGGTTGGTGAGCATGAAGATCCCAGTTTGTTTCCTAGAATCTATGTTTAAAAAAAAATCCAGGCTTGCTGGCATGTGCTTTTGATCCCATTGCCAGGGAGGCAGAGAGACAGGGCTGGTGCCTATTCCTCGCTGGCCAATCAGATTGCCTTGTTTGGGGAGTTTCAGGTCAGTGAGAGGTCCTGTCTCAAAACAAACAAGGTAGATGGCTTCTGAGGAATGACATCTGAGGTTATTTTTCTGACCTCCATGTGCACACATACATACACACACACACAAGTGTATATGATTTTAGTTGCATTTCCTTATTTGAAATTTAGAAGAGAATGGAACATATTCGGTAATGTGGGGATGTGAGGAGATCGAAGGCCACAAGGACAGGGTGACTTGACTATGTAGGACAAGGCCTACAAAGTATTGAATACCTATGTCAAGATGGCCATTGTATATTTTGTAAGAGCTGTTTATCTTTGGTTTGCCCAGTGAAAACATCCTGGCCCTGAGATTAGGACTGGGGACAGGAAATAAAATGACAACCCATTTATGAGCCTGGCACCTGAGAGATGGCCCTAGCTAAACATAAAGAACCCTGAGCTATCTATGTTGGCTGAGAAATTCCCAAACCCAGACTGACCAGCGAGCAGAGGTTACCCTCTACCCTTTGTAGAAATAACTGAATTGTGAGCCCTGCTTGAAGTGAACACAATTTTGTCAGAATTGAGCAGAGCTGTCAATGTTAACCTGGCCCCTTTCCATGGCTGAAATGAAGGTTTTAACCAGAGAGCAAGCTCATCGATTCAAGTCATCTCACATTGCACCAAACACTCTTTCCATTCAATCAGTGGAATTACAGTTCCAGAGAACAATGACTCCTATTTCCAGAGAGACAGCCAACTCATTGTTTCCTTCTTTTTGTCCTCCTTCCCTCTCTTTCTCCCTCTCTCTTCTTTCCTCCCTTTCTCTGACCTTCATTTTCTTTTCTCTGTGTCTTTCCCTGTCTTTTCCTTTCCCCTCTTGGTGGTTGCACTTTTTGTAAGAATCCTATGTGATCTGTAGGTGGCTCCCGGAACTGTAATGTTGTCTTGTCCTATTGACATTTATAATTTGAGTAGCTGGTTGGGTAAATAATTTTTTGAAGGTATGTTAGATCCAGGGATGGCTGTGCCCTGTGGTCTTGTTGATTTCCGAGTTTCATAAAGGAAACTGTTGTTTGAGGAATGTTGTAGTGGCTGCCCAAATGTTTTAATTGAAAAATAACCAAATGGAATGAGCCATGACAAGATGTATTGCTGTGTGCCTATGTCCCTGGGCACCTGTGTGGTAACCTGCCTATTTCCTGGAGTGAGGTGTTGAGTGTAATGCAGACATTTGGTAATTTAACACTTCAGTGTCTGTGTGGTATTCAAAGGGTGCTCTAAATATGAATAAAAATAGATTCTGTGTGGTGCATAGTCACTAAGTATGGGATCTGCTAGGTGAATGACACATTTTGAGCTGGCTGGCTGAGGGACTCTTTTCCATTGCCTAATTGTCTGGCTTGTTAAGGTGCGTCAGTCTTGCCCATGCCAGGGGCCCTTTTACCTCAAGTGCAGCTCCAGCTGAGTGTAGAGGAAGTGAAGAAATGCCCTCCTGGCCACAATTTCAGCATGGCAGTCGTTGACAACGAGTCCTTGGTCACTGATGTGCTCTCCGCTGATACACTTGGTTCCTGAGGACAGGACGATGACCTGTGCTTGTTTGGTGTCCAAGCCTAGGGGACACAGAGAGTGATCAGAAGAGCTTAGACTTGAAGGACCCCACTGCAGGGATCTTTTCAACCTTCCTGTAGCCACCAGCCTTGGTGCTTCTCTGGCTCACACTCATGTAGTGTCATAATTGATCTTGATTGTCAACTTGACTATAAAGTCACCTAGGAGACTTGTGAGACATGCCTCAGGGTATATTTATGAATCTGTTTCAAGAAAGGGAAATTGATGGAGATGTTTCATTCTGGATGTGATGGCACCATCCCTTAGGCTGGGACCTCCATGGCACAAAAGGAACAAAGAAAGAAAGTGGGGTACGGATAGTCTCCTTTTCACTGTTTCCCAGTCCACTAGGTTGAAAGTTTCTCTATCCTACTACACCATCCTAGACACGATGGACTGAAATCATGGACAAAATAAATAATTCCTCCTTTTACATTTTTTCTTAGCTATGTCATCACAGCCACTCAAAAGTTAAGTCCCAGGCTGACAGGTGTCAATCTGAGATACTGAGACTGGAAGCAGCATGGTCACCCTTAAGTTTTGCCCCAGTGGCTGCTGACCTGGTGGGAAGTAAGGGCTTTCTTTCTTTCTTTCTTTCTTTCTTTCTTTCTTTCTTTCTTTCTTTCTTTCTTTCTTCCTTCCTTCCTTCCTTCCTTCCTTCCTTCCTTCCATTCTTTTATCATTTTTTTTTGGTAGCAGAAGCTTGTGGAAACATTGATATTACAGGGAAAGGAATGACAGTCATAGGCAAATCTGTCTCTGGGGGAGAAACTGGGCCACTACAGGGGTTCCTGTTGAGACTTTAAAATGGAAGAGGTTGGGCTCTTAGTTGTGTGTTCTACCAATCCAAGTTCTACCACAAGGAATTCTGCCACAGGTCCTTGCCCTCCAGAATGACTGTATCTTCCCTGAGAGATTCACTGAGACAGAAGTGTGAAGAGAGGAGTAAACAGAAGACAGGGAGTGCATGAGAAGGACTCTTAGCCTGGGCTCTGCCAGGCAGACACACCTGTACTTTCAGTGGAGAGGTGGCCCAAAGTATGATGTGAATATAAGTCCCTCACAGGCTCATGCATTTGCAAACATCACTGGAGGCAGTAGATCACCAGGGACAGGTACTGAGATTTCATAGCTGGCCCCACCTCCTATCCACTCTTTGCTTCTTGATCAGAGCTGCATAATCAGCCATCTCTTGCCACTATGCCTTCCTGCCACTGTGCACCATGGCCCCTGGAACTATCAGCTAGATAAACACTTCCTTTCTCACATTGATTCTTGTCAGCTATTTTGCTGTAGCAATGAGAAAAGTTACTAGTACTCAGAGTTTTGGGTAGGCACTTGTGTGAATGTGAGGCCTACAAACATAGGCGTTTATTTTCTCTAGCTTTCAGGATCCCTTTGAGTAGTGGAATTCAGATGACATCATTCCTCCACTTTCTACCCAAAATATACTTCTCTCTCTAAGATCTGCTGAACTCTGCCCTGTTTTCCTAAGCACACTCTTAAACATTGTGGGAACACATGCCTTTTGAAGTCTTATACCTCAGAAGAGGTCATCCTTGAAGCTGGAACAAAGTCCAGTGGTTTGGAACACTTGAGAGTGTGTGGGTTGTGTACAATTTGTGCCTCAGGAACAAAGTAAAAAGTTGGGCATGATTATGGGGCCGATGTTTAGGCGTCTCAGGGCACAGAGGTATGAAGGCTTGTGATATGACACAGGGTCATGTTCAGAATATGTCCGCTCCACAATCACATTTCACAGGCTGGGGCTGGGGCTGGAGTGGATGAAGTGGAGTCTGAGGGGAGCATCCCTTCTGTAAGTTATCCTGTTTAAGATTGGACACCTTCTCAGCAATGAGTGGTCAGTGCAGACAGAATGACCAGTCCCAATCTGAGATTACTGCAATTGGCTGCAGCCTGGAGAAGGAACTTTGAGCTGTGCCCATGGCAATTGCTTGGGATCTGGGCTTGGCTCTGAGCTTATTCTGGGGACTGTAATTTAGGGACACATACCCTGAGTCTTTAAGTATCTTTTCTCTTTGTATATGTTCATCATACATGGTTCTGGCCCACATAAGAAACTAATTTTTCTTTGACACACACACACACACATATGTACATGTATATGTATATTACATTCCAATCCCCATTTGACCCCCACCAACTTCACTTTTCTTACACGGGTCCTTTGTTCCACTTTTATGTCTTTTTGTTTTGTTTTTGGCTTGTTTTGTGACCCACTGAATTTAATCAGGGCTGGATGAGTATCCACTGGAGAATGGGTACTCACCAATAGGAACCTACCTACTCAGGACAATAACTTCTCAGCCCCAAGCAGCCATGTACTGCCAATATCTCCCAAGGAGGGCCAACCTACTAAAGTCTCTCCCACATCTTTGATGGATTATTGATGGGCCCACTCTTATGCAGGCCCTGTGCAGGCAATTGTAGCTGCTATTAGTTCACCTGTGTAATGGCCAAGTCATGCCCAAAAGACAGCATTTTATACAAAGAACATCTTAATGTATGCATATATTGTACATTTGATACACTATATCCTCTACCCTCGCTGTTCTCGTCCCTCTTTCTGACATTAGTGCCTGTTGTCTCTCTAGACACTTCTGCTTCTATTTTATGATATATACATATACATATATATACATATATATGATATATACATATATATACATATGTGTATATACACACACACACACACATACACATATACACATGATTTCAGGCATCTATATATAATCTATACTTACTGAATCTTATATCTAAGAATAATGTCACAAATGCATAAAAACAAAGAAAGTGAGGGGGGTTCATATTGGAAATTGTAAAGCTTTTTCCCCTCCTCGGGGAGCTACAGGATAGACGGAAGGAGGCAGGCAGTAGAACTTCTGCTCTCATCTAGCACTTTCTGTGTCTGAGAGGCAAATCTCTGAGGTTACATAGAGGCACCAAAGGTGAGCCCCAAATTATTTCTCTCCTTTCTGGTCTATTTAGGGGCCACACACCTGCTGATCTTTGGGGTCCATAAACCCTGAGAAGCATGCATTTTTTTATGGAGTGATTTATACAATTGTGCAAGTGAGTTTCTGCTAGTGACCACAGGAAAGAATTATAACAGCTCTACTAGGACTGCCAGAGGCAATTTGTAAAATATCTCCAGTTATCACCACATTGTTTAAAAACTCTCAGTAAGTGGCAAGAGCAGAGAGTTTTGATACTACACTTACTGAAGGACCACATAAAAACAAAATCTCTTTGAGGTGTCAGAGAGGTGGCTCAGTGGGTGAACTGCTTGCTGTGCAAATGTGAGGTCCTGGGTTTGAATCCCCAGAACTGATGTAAAGTTAGGTGTGGTTGCCTGCATCAGTACTCTTACAGTGAAACAGGAAGTGAGGACCAGAGAGGCCTGGAGCTTGTAGGACAGCTAGTCAGCAATGACAAACTACAAAAGGTCCTGTTTTAAACAAGATGGAAGGTTAGGACTGTCACTTCAGGTTGTCCTGTGACCTCCATAAGTCTTCCTTGGCATGAGTACACACACATATACACACAAACACACACACACACACACTCTCTCTCACACACACACACCACACACACACACACACACGCACACACAAAGAGAGAGAGAGAGAGAGAGCACTCTCTGACTAACCAGTTTCCAACCTAAAAATGGGGGCTACTTCCATCCTATGCCACTTTGCCATCGTTGATTAGATCAACTGTTAGGAGCTGGTAAATTGTCCGTACTAACATGGACATTTTCATGACTTATTTTTCACAAGACAATGCCCATTTACTCATAGCCAAAAGAACTCTGTCAACAAAAATGGCTCCCTGGAAATGAATTCTTGAAAACAAATTCTAAATTTAAAGCCTTTAAAATACAACAAGGACCACTGTTGTTTGAGCAGACCCCAAAAGACTACTATTCAAAGATTATTCTTTCTCTGGCCCTCATGGATACAAGTGTGAATACACATGTTCTCCTTACTTTGATGGTGAATTCCTTGAAACTAGAAACCAGAATTTCATGAACTCCTCTAAGAAGGGGCTCCCTAGGAGTCTGTGTAATTAGAGAGATTGCTCCAGTCCCTGTTGGAGAGTCCATACAAATCCAACTTTCAAGGTCCTGCAACTGAAAGCCGGGTATGTGATTGGGATGCCCCCCAGCTCTGCTCTCTATGTGAGCACACTGCTACTTGGCTAGTTTTGAATTCTGTGTGGTGTGTGGTCGGTGTGGAGTGCCGACTTAGCCTCAGATTTTACTGGACTCTGTTAAATCCTTTGATAAATTTATGTATGAACCATTTCTTTAAAGAAATGATATGCAAATTGGGCCCCCAGTGGAGCAGACCTTCCATTTTTAATAGGATTTACTTTTCCAAGTACAAACAGTGCTGAGAGCCTTGTAAAGCACTTGATACAGACTTGTTCTAAGTTGAGAATTGCTCCATTAAGAACTAAATCATGAAGCCTGAGTGACCTCTGTCACTATTTTCATCCCCAGCTTGAATCTTTCTTTGTGGTACAAAACAGGGGACAGATAGGGAGGTAAGGGAAGAATACTTAGCTTGGGGGGTGTCAGATGGAAGCCTGAGGGATGGAGGGCAAGGAGGGCAAATGAATATATGTATTGGCTACAGTTAGCAAAGGTCAACCCTCTATCCATGGTATCACCTGCATGGTAACTGTGCTGCCTTTTCTCCTGGACAGCTCCCTGGATGGAAAAAAGAAATAAAAAGGAACATGATTGCTCCTAGGTATGGTGAAGGAGAAGGTTTATGCAGGAGAGTATAGCCAGAGGCAGGGACATCTGGGAGAGTCTAGAATGGATATGACCAGACTGAACCATCTGAGGAGAGGGGGAGGGGGCAGAAAGAGAAACCAGATGCAGCAGACAAGAGACCCAAATGTACAAAGAGAACAGTAACCAAAACAACTGGATTCTATCAGGAAGAGCAGCCTAGCCCCCCTGAGCTGGAGA